TTGGACAATTATCTCTCTCTCTCTCTCTCTCTATATATATATATATATATATATATATATATATATATATATATGTATGTATGTATATGTTGGCAGAACTGATAGACAGGAGGAATGCAAAAACTGTATATTTTTCCATGTTACAAACTCACAATTGGGTACAGATTAGGTGTTTATATACAGAATATAGCTAGTATATATAATATAATGTAGGAGAAAAATAAGGTATCAAGTCCTAAAGTTAAGCCATAAAATCAATACAGATTCCTATAATCCTCATAATTAGTTATTTACATTAACACCCCTTCCCCTCAAACTCAAGGTGGAATTGTGGATGTGAAGTTAAGTTTGGAAACAATTTTTTGAAAATGCCAAGGAAAGTGAATTTTGGTGAAGATATCAGTTACTTCAGATGAGAAGGATAAAGGAACAAGATTAATAGTAGTAACCAGAGTGAGTCTGAAAGTGGTAGGTAATCAATCTCAATACAACATCATTACAAGAAATTTGAATAATACTTGGATTATCACAATGAAGAACAATAACCGTTGATGAAGTGATACTCAAATCCTCAATTGTTTACTAGAGGCCCAAAATGTTGGCAGTATAAGTTTGGATAATCAAGAGGAGTGCCATCCATCGAGGTAAGTTTAGCATTGGGTTCCAAAGAACTTAAAACGACTTTGCCATAGTAGCCTTCATTATTGGCCGAGATTAGAGTTTAATGTACTTTTTGGTTCCCTCTTTGCAACACAGTTGCGCGGTATGCGAAAGTTGTTCCCTAACATGCTTTCTTCCATGTGCTTATTTTTGAGAAGGTCGATGAAACAAACACCACTGTTGATTAATGAGAGTTCCAATAAGGACAACGTAGAGTAACAACTGAATGACTGTTTTCTTTCCATGCAGTATCTTAATTTCAGATACAATAAAGGGTTTGATCATCTATACATACATAACCTACTTTGTAATACTTTGTTTGTTTTATGATTTTATACTTTCTTCAGAACCTTGGTGCCATGAGTTGCAACGGTCTTCACATTCTCTTCCTTTGTGTCATATTATCACGTCTTTTGAAGTTCTCTTCATCTTTTGTTGTTTGCACCAACTCAAGTGGGAGTGGTTTGTTTCTCTCTACCATCACAATCCCTTCACTAGATTCTTTGCAAATCAGTTGATTCATTTTTACCTCTTTGCATAATGATCACTTATTTGAGTTGTTGTTGTTGATGGAACAGGCTTCCCTGAGGCTCCTCTGAAAATCTGTTCTTGCGATGGAAAGACAGAGGCATGTTGTAACGCTGGTGAAGCAAGGTTTCAGAAACAATTGCACGAGTTAAACGTCACTAACCCAAATTGTGCTTCATCTCTCCTCAAGTCCATTTTATACGCGGTAAGCATTCTAGGAGGTGGCCAGTGCTACTCATTAGTTTCACATACCCCTCAGTTGATCTCTCTCTCTAGTTCAAGTATAAGTAGACATTGTATATTGTTTGGAAATAGATTCTCTCATATTAAATTTTTTACTTTATATTTTGTAAAAAAAATTGTATCAATATTTTTCTTCATAACAAATAAAACATGAGGTCATATAACCAACAATATTAAACACAGCTGATACTTGACATACAACTGAGTTCCTTAAATATGATATCTATTATTGACCTTTTATATGATGAAGAAAATTTTGTTAGGAGATACAACTTATTTAGTTGATGTTAGTATTGAAATGATTAATCTCTAAATATCGATTATAGATATATTTAGTACAAACAAACAAAAAAATAGATAAAGTCATATTAAAATTTGTATATACTTAAAAAGAGAAAAATAGACACAATTTTTTCCCATAATATGGTCAAATAAAAATTTAACATGAGAAGATTCGTTTTCATTTTTTTTTTCTCTTCTCTTTGGAGGGTTGCACCTGTTATGAAGGATTCAAATCCTTCCTCATGTGTTGTATTTTTATCTTTATAATATAATTTATTTAAAATTTGTCAATTATAATATTAATTGGGGTACTATTGTTGAAATTATTATTATTGTTGTTGTTAAAATGGAATATCACAATTTATTTAATAAAAATAATTTACATAATCAATTTTAAATATTCATTTCATGTTTAATTTAGCTTTTTTTTAAATAATCATTTATTTTTGTCAATTTCTTAGAGAAATTTTGAAAAATGGGCAATTATTTATTTAAAATTGAGGTGAATCCTTGACATTAATTATTTCATTAATAAAAGATTTCCAATATCAAAAAAGTTTTAAAATTTTAAGAAGGGCGGTTTTTGTTTCTTATAATATCTGAGCGATTTACCTACTATCTAAAATTTAAAATATCAAAATAATGTCAATCAAATTATTGAAGGACTGAATTATTAGTTGTGTTAATGTTTGATCTGTGAATTTTTGCTTACAAATAACATGGAAACAAAAGTACTTATAATGTTGGGGAGTAGTGAAACATTTTTAAAAATATCATGGATTAAAATGCTTAACTAATTCAATTTCATTGGTCTGATAGGGCCACAATAACCACTAGAATACTTCGATACCATCTGAAGATTTAAGTTCGAGTCTAATTTGACTCCAAAAACTAAATCGTAAGGAGAAAATTGGCTCCGCTTATACATATTATTTCATATCACTAAACAAATCTCCCATCTTTCAAAGGTTAGTTTAGGGGTAAAATAGAATACTATCTGTACTATGTTTTCTTGAATTGATTGACAAAAAATTCTGTTTGACGTTGTTTCTCGTCACCTACATGTTCCTTGTTTGAAATGTTGACTTTATTTTTTAGCTGTATCACAGTTTACTATTCCTTCATATGTTTTGATCCGTTATTAATAATTTGCAGATAAGTGATGGTCAGTTTTCTGAAAAATCGTTCCAAACTGCCTCAGGCATTAAAACTGTTCCCCTTTTGTGCAACACCACATTACCAGTTAAGTCACAACAATCCAGTGGTGATTGTTCTTTTGATTTCTGCACAAAGATTTGGGAAACATGTGAAAATGTTTCTATAATTAATTCCCCATTTGAATCTTTCTTACAAGACAAAACTGGCAAGGACCTTGGCTTCTTAACTTCAACAGTGAGAGATATTTGGAAGTCTAGGAGAAGCTTTTGTGAGACATTTTGTGGATCTTCAGAAGATGAAAAAGCATGCTTCAACGGTGAACCAATTTCATTGAACAATGAACAAACCCCCTTTTTTCCTAAGGGTCTATGCTTGGAGAAAATTGGAGAAGGGTCATACCTTAATATGGCTCCACATCCTGATGGTTCTAACCGTGCCTTCTTTGCCAATATGCAAGGAAAGATATGGTTGGCAAAGATTCCTGTTGAGGGGTCCAATGAGATTTTGGAAATTGATGAATCCAAAACCTTTTTAGACATCAGTGATGATATTATATTTGATACTGGGCATGGTTTATTGGGAATGACATTTCATCCAAATTTTTCACAAAATGGCCGCTTCTTTCTCTCTTATAATTGTGATCAGATGAAAAATCCTAGATGTTCTGGAAGGTGTGCGTGTAACTCGGATGTGAATTGTGATCCTTCAAAACTTGGTGCTAGAGGTATCTTCCCATGCCAGTATCACAATGTCGTAGCAGAATTTACAGTCAATGGCTCTTCATCAAAGCCTTCCTTGGTATTTTTTGACACCACTTTCCCAATTTGCTTATAAACAACCGTGTTTTCTTCCTTATTTTTTATGAGTATATCTTTATTTTGTTTATAGGCTGAAAGTGCCAATCCATCAGAAGTGAGAAGAATATTCACAATTGGTGTTCCTCAAAGTGGAGGTCATGCTGGTCAGATTTTGTTTGGACCTGGTGATGGATATTTGTACCTCATGTTGTCTGATGGCTATAATCGTGATGATCCTTACAACTTTGCCCAAAACAAGAAATCCTTATTGGGAAAGATTTTGAGAATTGATGTTGATAATATACCCAGTAAGTCCTATTTTCCAAGTTTGTTTAGATACAAGTTTAAAAGAATTTTTGAGAATTTTTCTATTGAAAATAAAGTTTTTCCCAACAAAAAAACTTTTAAAAGCGCTTCTAAATAGTATCTAAACAAATTCTATTAACTATTCTAAACGTTTTAATGTCTAAACTTTGTACTACATGTCTACATCACAACCCCACCCCATAACCCTTCATATTAAGTTGATCATACAAATATGAGGACTTTCTGATACAAAGATGGAATTAATTCCCTTCAGTTGATTTTTCTGACAAACCCTTTGGTGGATTATGTTCTCTCGTGATTGTGAGGTTCTGTATGTTAGCAGGTCCCAGAGAAATAAATGAGATGGGCTTGTGGGGAAATTATTCTATACCTAGAGATAATCCATATGTCAGTGACAATGAACTTGAGAGAGAGATATGGGCCATTGGTTTCAAGAATACTTGGCGCTGTAGTTTTGACTTTGAGAGACCATCCTATTTTCTATGTGGAGATGCTGGCCAGGTTTAGTGATCCTACTAGTTTTCTCTTTTTAAGGGTACATATTCAATGATCCAATTTAATTAATTCCTTGGATGTGGTCGAGTTTATTGGCATGCAATTATTATTATTTTTTTAATTTGTAGTTCTTGATTCCTGATGAGCTTTCTCTGACTAGTAACATGTTCTTTTATAGGATCAATACGAAGAGATTGATGTGGTTAAGAAGGGTAAGAACTATGGTTGGCGAGTCTACGAGGGTCATTTTCTTTTTCAGGCATTAGAGTCTCCTGGAGGAAACACTTCTGCTAGTTCCATACACCCAACATTCCCTGTAATGGGTTACAATCATTTTGAGATTGAGAACAATACGGGATCTGCATCCATCATTGGTGGCTATTTTTATCGGTCCATGACTGATCCTTGCATGTATGGAAGGTTGATTTGTCATTACCCTGCATATTATACATCAATGTGGCAAATGCATTTATTATATCATTAATACAAAGATTATTGAATATTTATTTAGAAGTATACAAAAATCATCGGTACAAATATTCTAATGTGAGGCTTTTATAAAATTTAAAAAATAACAAAAAAAAATCAGGTCTTTAAAAAATAAAAACAATTTTTTATCCAACAATTAAAACTTTATTTATATGCTCTTTAATTATCATTATACTAAATAAACTAATGGTTGGGCTTCCCCCGCTTTATGACTGGGCCGCCATGGATACATATTCTTAAATGCTTGGAGTGTTATTTTCCTATCAAAGTTGAAGTTTTATATAGGTAATTCACATAGTTTAAAGTTTGCATCAAAGAGATATATAGGTTAGTGGGGTAAAACTCCAGTTTTGTATAAAAAATAAACAAATAATTGTATTTAAGTTTTAGGTCTAATACAACGAATGGTCCATGAACATTTTGAAAATTTTAATTAAGTCCGTAAACTTAACAAAAATTGTAATTGGGTACTTGATCCTTTATAATTTTGAAATTGGATCCGTTTAGTTAATTTGTGGCAGTTTCAAAAGTCACAAAAGTAACCGGTTATAGCGATTTTACTAATTGTAAGGATTCAATTACAAAAGTTATAAAATATCAAGACCCAATTACAAAAAATTTTAGTTTAAAGACTTAATTATAAATTCTTAAAAAGTTCAGGAACTTAATCATGTGTTAATCCTAAGTTTCATCCTTATATATGACATGTTTAGTACTCCTTACTGTGGTAATTCCAAGCAAGACCCTTTAAAATAACATGGCAGATGTTGATATTTCAGGTACTTGTACACAGATCTTTATGCAGGGTTTATTTTTGTGGGTACAGAAAGTCCTGAAGGCAGTGAAAACTTCAGCAGTGCCAAGATTTCTTCTAGGTGTGCTCATGACTCACCAATGCCATGCTCTTTTTTGAAGGGAAATCCTACTCCTTTGTTAGGGTATGTGTACTCGTTAGCAGAAGATAACAACAAAGACATATATTATCTGACAAGCACTGGTGTTTACAGAGTTGCACGACCAAGTCGTTGCAGTTACTTTTGCACCAAGGAAAAAGTTGGTCTTGGAAATAACAGGCCTCATTCTTCTTCCTCATTTTGTGAAGGTTTTGGTTTTCTTATGTTGTTCCTCTCTCTTACCATACATTATATCTTATGATCTAAAGTAGCAGTAATATTATTCGGGCAATTCCCACCCAAAAAGGATGTATCTCAAGCATTAAGCTGAATGTGCTGCATTGAACCTTTTTTTTTTTTTTTTTTTTCATTTTTCAACATTTTGTGCTTAATACAGTAGTATGAATTATAACTGGTTTGTATCTGAACTGGCTTCTGCTAAGGTTATAGAAAATAAAATATACGTACTATTTATAACCGTTAATTTAACAATTAATGATTTGAGTCAACAAAAATAAATTAATGATTAAAGTTTTAATGAAGTTGCTATCTAATGTTTCTTCTCTTTTTAACATCCACTTCTCCCGGTTAAGTTGATGCACATTTTTATCTCAACCATCATGTGAGAGTGACAACTGACAACTATAGAAAAATGCATAATCAATGGTTATAAAAGCTGGTACATCCATGTTCTAGTTATTGATAGGGGCATTGTTGAAGCTATCTTTCATATTTTTCATCTTTCTTACCTTAAAGTTAGGTCTAATGATACCTTTACAACCTTTCCCTTGAGCCTTTTAAGATCCAGTGAACTACGTTACAAAACTAAAAATTCAAATGATACCTTTAAATTTAAAATGTAGCGTGTAATTGATTAAACAAATAGATCGATATGCATGCATGCATTAATGTTATTAATTACTAGTAGTTTATTGTAGGGTTCATTGAATTCGAAAGCCACTCATAGATTGGATCAAATTTTAAAATTATCACCTAGCCAGCCAGTAGCCATGCTCCTTCAAAACTCAATTATAGCCGTGATCATTTCTTTTTGTTATAATTATTATTGGAGATGAATTCAAGTCTCATTGTCGGTTAAAGTCTTAAAAATAAGACTAAAATAGAATATATATATATATATATATATATA